GGGGGGGGGGGGAGAGGAGAGAGCGAGGAGGTGGAAGACGGAAGAAAAGCCACAGGCGGGACGGGGCGCCGTGAGGCACCTGACGGGGGCGAGCACCTGTTACAAGGGGCGCAGGGTTGAGTGCGCTCGCGCTTACGCGCAACAGCAGTCGATACCAAAGGCGGATCGCCCTCTGTAGCAATTCTTTAACACCCATCTACCTCGGAGCACTACACGCCACAAATACCAATGATTCAGTGCTAATGCCCCCCTCTTACCACTTCGCGTTCGATCCCTCTGCTTGCCGACATAACCATCTGCACACACACGCTCTCTCTCTCCCTTGTACATCTCCCCCAAACTCACTTGTTCGCGAAGGCTGGTGGCGCTCCCTACAAGCCGCTGGAACTCCAAAACGGCCGTTAAAGTCGACAGGCCCCACATGACTCTCGCCGCCGTCCACAGCATCACCACGCGCCCGACCTGCGCGCAAGTTAAGTTCACAGCATGGCGCGGTTGAGGACAAAGGATGACAAGATATACCAGGTACTAGTTATGTGCTACGGGATGGTCAAAGTACTATGGCACGGCATGGCAAAAAAAAGTGAGTGAAGTGCTTCCGTCATGGTACGGTACGGTATAGAATGCTATGGAGCCACAGGGACGTTCTTCAGTCTGTCATCAGTGCGGACTAGCCTGACCGCCCTTACCTTCACCAGGTATAAGTGCGACGAAACGAAACGCTCCAAATTTACACGCCAACCAAAAGAATCTCGTTTTCTTGCCGTATTTTTGGTGAGCTCGTGACCGCCTAAACTCTACTGCATATCTACAAATTTCGATTTCGAGGAGCAGGGGAAGAGGAGGGACAGGCTATCCAAGGAGTCCGAACAAGTCATTACTTCAAGTCGTGACAGGAACGCAAATAAAAAACAACACACAGCAGACCCGGTAGTGTATTTTCGCTCACAGCTCTTGCCGGATGTTCTTTTTTCTGACACGAACGGCAAAAATAGTACTTCGAAGTAAATCTTAATTTGCGAGCAAAACATGCAATTCGCAGCAGATCAACGCAAGCATTTCATGGTCTTGGCCGACCTTTTTTTTCTTACGGAAATGGCAAAAACGGCAATCATTTGAATTTTGGTGCAAGACACGTACCTCGCTGCAGATCAAGGCAAGTATTCTGTAATCTTGACCGGCATTATATACGTTTGTACAAATACGGCCAAAATTATTTATATTATCGTGTGATGCACGCACTGTAGGGTCGGCTCGTTGTTCCGGTGATCTGTTCGGCCATGTGGTACACTAGTGCCCGCGGCTTGATCAACCATGTGCCGTTCACCTGTCGCCTCAACCACCAGAGCAAAAAAAAAAATCAAGGACCAAAAGGCGCTGCAGCTTGACCAACCATGCGTATTTTTCCCTTACCTGATATTGCCCCCCGCCTCCGGCACAAGCAACCCTCACACGCGGTCACGTGTGCATACCGCGGTCATGTGTGCACACACGCGTGTTGGAAAGAAAAAAGTGCGTTGCAGCAGAATATTGTGTTGTCCGTCCATCCGTAGGTTCCCTTGCTTTTAATCCACGCTGTGTACGTCATCATCACGTGCTCCACGCATAGACAGACCTTCACTTGCCACAAAAAAATACAGGGCGGCCCAAGCACGCCGTACTCTCAATCTCAACTGCCGGTTGATACGTGTGCCCCAATCACTCAAAAAACACAATCCCAAACAAATTGTCCGATTTCTAGCTGAAGCGCGAGCAAAACAGGATTACGTGCATATACAAAAGTTCCTCCCCGTGCTCTCGAAACCGAGCAGTAAGTTTAATGTGGGTCAAGAACAACTACTTTTAGTGGGCAAGAAGCCTTTGCCCTTCCATTCAATCTTCGGTCGGTTCAAGCAGGTACCTACTTTCGTTTACCCTGTTACCCTGATGTTCACTATTTTCACTTTGGAGACTCTGCACCCTTTCAAAATCCCCATTCCTGCCTCGAGGAGTTCCTAAAAGTGGGTAGACTACCGGGCGTGGTGTCATGTAAAAGAGAGGTATTACGGAAGAACTAGAAGGTAGGAGAATTACGAGGAACGATGTTGGCGTTCGCACACCCTGTCACATGCACGGATGGACGACTGTCACGCAACGTACTCGGGTTGCAGAAAGTCGCGCCAAATAGAATCAAGCGGAGTTTGACCGTGTACACTACAGACTCGCCGTCGCGGTTTACAGTTGCGTTGAAAACAAAGCACAGGGACCCTTGCGGGTACCAAACCAAGCAACTCGATGATACGGTTCAAGGCTCTCACTCGCCCCCGCGCTCTTTTCGTGCTTGTCTCTTCTCAAGGCGGACGCAACCCGTAAGTTCGTACAAATTTTCTTCAACCGCAAAGAGACAAAATGCGGTTGTGGATGGGCAACATGCAGTGAAATGGGGTCGTTGTGAAATCTTGGCTTTGCAAGGCTACTTTTCACCGCATACTACTAGTGACCGGCATTGTATCTATTTGACACAATCAACGTTGCCCCCCATTGTTATACTTCCTCTGTCAGATAAGTAAAGTCCGTTATGATTACACGGCCATTTAGCCGTGTCCGATGTCTAAAGCGATACTTTTTTTTAATCTTGAGCGTTTTTCGGGTTGAAACCCACATTTCTTTTTTTTTCTTGCGCACTACCCTGCATGCACTAGCGGCTTACAAAAAAGTAGTCGGGCCAAAAAAGGCCGTATTTTGCCCCTTTCCATGAGGGTGGGGGTGGGGGCACGAAACGAAACATACCAAAAAAAGACAAGAATTATCCCGAACCCTAACCCAAGGTTACCTCTACTGAACGATCCATTTCGCGTCCTCCCATACAAAAACCAACATAATAGTGAACCCACACTAAAATCAAGACATTTTCGAGGCCCACACTAAAACCAAGACACTTGGGGGCGCCACACTAAAATCAAGTTACTTGCGGGGCAAAGCCGACAGGCGTAGGGTCCTAACCCTACCCCCCCCCTTGTACTCAACAACGACCCATGTCGCGTCCGCCCAATGTTTTCTGGGTAATCACTACCAACGCCGTACCGCTCGGCGAGGGGGCCTAGAAAGCCCATGGGTACCCTTTCTTTGCCCGGCGGAGTCGCCAACGCTATCTCCACCGCCATGGCGTACCGACGACCCAACGATACTTCCGCACCCCGCTTACGACGTGGGGGTGTCTGGGCGTCGTCCCCCATGATGGCTACGTCGTTGTGGTGGTAGTGGGTGCTCACACAGCACAAAGCTGCAAATATTCTTTAAAATATTCTCAAAATGTTTTCAAAATATTCCCAAAATATTCGCAAAATAGTCCCGTATTTGACACACTAAGTCTCAGTAATTGTGAATCGTATTTTCTTTTTTTAAGTTATGTGCGTAACAAGCGCTTTCCAACAAACCTAACTAGAGCTTCAGGAACACCTTGGCTGGTGAGGTATGTAAATTCCCCCATAACGGACTTTACTTATGTGACAGAGGAATATGGTGCTATCTCTCTCTCTCTCTCTCTCTCTCTCCCTCTCTCTCTCTCTCTCTCTCACCCGATCCCTCTCTCCCTCTCACCCCATCTCTGTAGCGCTTACCCGATCCATTCTGAGCATTGCCGCCTCCGACTTGTAAGGAAAACCGGAGAAGGTGCACGTGAGGTAGGAGAACAGCACCGCCAGGAGGAGCGGCAGGAGAAGGTTGACCGAGGTGATGAACAGGTAGAGCACCGAGAGCACCCCGGACTGTCGCGTCCGTCGGCAGGGAAGGGGAATCGGATACGGGAAAGACCAATAGGAAAGACGGGAGGTCACGGCGTGGAGGTGAGCAACAAATATCGCCTCGTGTCGGAGACACGACGTGGGCGCCGTGATGGGCCACAGCAATCCAAGTCTGACCTGACGCAAGGCCGCCCTCTTCGTTCAACCCCATACACTCCGGTCAAGGACAGGGCAAGACGAAGAGTGCTCCTTTCTTGAGCCGCTCATTTTCCTGTGCAATCACTGCTATTGTGGGCAATAAAGATGGCGGCCCCCCGTCAACAATGTCTTCCGCGGGCCGTCCCCGCCATCGTGTTGCGCTCCCCGTGAGTACTGGTCCCCAGCGAAGGGGGGGAAGGGGGGGGCGTACTCTTATGTTTTGCATGTCTTAGCGGTTAGACCATTGACCACGCGTCCTCGAGAGGACGGAGCATTGTTCCCACAGGACCGATCACCGATGGCCAATCGTTCCTT